GCAGAGAACAACAGCTGAGGGACTGACAGCTCTGTTTGTCTGTGATGCTGAAGATTCATTGTTTCATTTATCGCCCACTAAAGAATCTGCCAAAACCCAAGACTATGATCAGTAAAAACTCAGAGAACAAGGTCAGAGTTAATAGAATTGGTGGAGTTAGGGAAGAGAGAGAGATTTATGGCAAGGTTCCTGAACTAGAACATTCACTTTTTTATCACAGCACAGACTGGTGTCCTGTTGAGTCTGAAGGGGACAAACCAGGCTCAAAAAGACAAAGGCTGGTCCCCCACCCAGGGGATTGGAGGCCAGGATGTCCCATCTACCCCTGAGGTGACTGCTTCTGGGGATGTTTGACCTTTGGCCTCTGTTGCGTTGAGACTTGCAAATGTGTCTGTACAGAGCCTGAAAAAAAATAGAGAGGGGGAAACAAAGGGGACTTATACTGGGAGTGATGCAGCTGGACAGCTGGAGTCTGAGAGAAAGAACGTTTATGAGCGTCTGGACATGAAAAGCTGTGAGAGAGGAACTTTGTTTCACAAATGCTGTGCAGCATGGCTTAGGGATAAAGTCTTTAGGCGCAGTAACGCTCTAAAGTTTTGAGAAAACATTCTTAGAAGATTATGGTTGATTTTCTAAGAAGCCTTTCTTCTCCAGTTCTTCACCACTGGTGTCATTGTCTGCACATCTTGGGTCTAAGTTTGCCTCAGACTGAATGATGTGATGAAATTCCGTCCAAACACGGCTGGAGTTTAACGGCTTACTGTGATGTTTGGTGTTGTAGAATTCATCTGCACAACACATTAAAAGAAGGAAGTCGACTTTAGAATGCATGCATCAAAAACCTGTCATTTGGTAATGCACCTAAGCTCTTTTTTGAAAAGGAAATGAAAAGAAAAGCACTTTTAGTTTCCATTTGGTCAGAAATATATCTCAGTATTTTCTATCCTCACGTCAAAGAAAACATTTATATTATATTAAATTGACTGCTTATCGTATAGTTTTTGTTTCCACAGTTTAAACAATGTCATAGCCGGCCGACAACAACAAGTGACTGTATGGTGGATTTATTGAATACAGAGCACCGTGAAACTAATGTCTTCCGTAACCCATCAGTCACTAAACAAACAATCCATCTAAATATTCAGCTCAGTATTTCATACTTGAAGTTTGTTTTCTTCTCAATCCCCATAAGACATTTTTAATCAACCTCCTTACACTCATTAACTCAAAAAAAACATTTTATCCCAGAAGTATCCCTCAGTGGGCGAAATCGTTTCATCCACAGCCTTTCATGGAATTTTAATGAAATAATACACAAGATGCCGTGTCCTTCACTGTCATTAGTGGGGAGTTAATTCCACTCATTAAATCTCATCACTAACAAAGAAGAAATAGTCAGGACAGAGCCGGAATCTGTTTAATCACGTATACGTGTGCACGCCCTGCGTTTTTATCTTAGGGGGTTTTAATTAGCGGTACAAGAGCAGAGGTACGCAGACGTACTGTATAATGATTTTAATGTTCAGACGTTAAGACACCTCAGCTGGTGAAGTACAACAGAACCAGGAAGAAGGAAGAACCCAGGGTGCAGAACTCCAGAGACATCGATGATCAGGTGTCGCAAAAGTCCAAACTTCAATTCATCCACTTCAACCCAACCAGGAGTAGAGAGAGTGCAGGAGGGAGGTACTAGGTGACACCAGTGAGACTAATGAACAAAGGGTTAAAGGATACAGTTGTATGTGATGACACTGATTAACACAGAGACACAGGCAGGAGTCAAGAGAGACGGGGAGGGACAGGTCTCACAGCAGTGAATGTCATAATGTTATCACTTTTTATAATGTTGTAATTTTAATTATAACAATTCATTATATTTTAATTATAACATTTTTTATAATTATATAAAATTATATAATACATGTATATATTAACCGTTATAATCGTTTAATTATAACAATTTTATTTTTATAACAAATTGACAAACTAACTATTTTAATTATAATTTAATCTGAATAATCACAGTGTGGATGTGGATTGTTCACTTTTAATTGATATTCATGACCATAATGAATCACGAGTAATCATGATTAATCTATATGTCTAAATATGACAAATGACCTTTTCTATATATTATTGGTCTGACCTGAAATTTAAACAACTGTAAATAATCAAACTTTACAAATGGCATCTACAGTGTAATGTGAAAATCTGCTAAATAAGAAACTGTACAACATTCATCATGTTATTTGCAACAGTCATTCTTTTTTGTATAATAATTATTATTATATTTAATATATTCTTTAAATACAACCCTCATGTTCTGGTAACAGGGCGTACCGTGTAATTCTGCAGCCTGTGTGTGTGTGAGAGCTACAGAAATCAGCTTGGCCATTTTTCATCCGTGCTTTGGAAAAGTTAATTAGCTTCTTTATGGGGCATTTAAGGCCTCTGCCATGCTAATTTAAGGGTAATTAAGAGATCCTTCAGGGGCATTTACCTTCAGCCCCCAATAATTACCCTCCCTGCTGTATAACCCCTGATGCACTTTAACGTTGAAGCTTCATCTCCTCTTCGAGTAGATATAACTTCTATAGGTCACAAAGTCTTTAAGTATTAAATATAAAATATACAATTTTAATTTAAAGACAGGATTTCGCTAACTTGTTGTTACTAGTTATTTGCTGACAAAACATTGTCATTTTAGATCAAATTAAAGCTCTTTTATTGGTTTGGGGCAAAAGTTAATTATTTTATTCTTTATACTTTGTCAGAATTTTTTTAATTTCTTCTACTGTTGGTGGGTTTTCTTCATTTTTCAGATATTAATGGCTATCTATATTTTATTTTTGCTAACTACTAGTCTCCTATTATTACTAGCCTATTTTTTATTAATTTACCATTTTACAAATGACCGAAAAGAAATTGTTTCAAACCCCAAAATAAATTCAACCACAGATGATGTTAAAAATCAAGGGCTCCATTTGGTTGACATTTTATTTCATGGTGGTAGGAACACAAGACAAAGGTCATAAAGTTAGTAATGTTCAGGTCATGCCACTCTTAACTGGATGCTCGGCCCTCTGGGAAGGCTGGCGCAGTCAGACAGTAGTTTACAGAGGCTAGACATGGAGGCGTCTTCCACATGTAGACATAAATAAGAAACAGAAAATAGATTTCCAAAAAAACCAAAAACAAACAGTAAATCTTTTCAGTTCATAAAAAGCGTAAGGAGACGTTTGCAGACGGTCCCCTTGGATTTTCTTGGATATGAGAATTATTACTAATATAATTACTAATATTATGTTTACTCCTTTACATTATGGGGATGAGGCTAATACACTGGCTAAAGTAAGGATAAACAGCTATATGGGCGACGTCTCCGTCGCCAGCTCAGGTCGGAGTCGAGGTGACTCGGCTTTTAAGGCAATTCAAAAAGTTTTTACCCAGAATACAGACCGTTTATGTAGCTACTGTCCTCGAGTCCCATTCAAATACAGAAGAAAAGAAATCTCCTGTGTGTGAAGTAGTGTCACCACCTGAGTGAGTGGGTCAGCGTTCAAACAGTGCAGTAAAATAAGACCAGTCTAAGGTTTTTACAGAGCAATTGCTGGAACTTTTAATGTGTCGTGGACACTGGATAACACACAACACAGTTATAGCTCTACAGGGCTAGTATAAGTCCCCCAAATGTACATGAAGTATATCAGCGTGTAGGTGTACAGACGAGTCACATGAGAATTCCAGTGTATATTACTAAAAACATAAACCTCCACAGATCACATTTTGCTAATTCTTTTTTTTACACGTAGAAACCACAGGGCTGTACAAAAAAAGATTGCTTTTATGATTGAAGAAGGGAAACAGAAGGAAAGGAAAAGAAAAATACAAGACTGTCGATACTCAATCACATACAGGCATGATTTTGTCTAAGAATATTGCCAAAGGTTTCTCCTCATATCAAAACGAGAGTCAGCTTATCGTGGTCACGCAAAGATGACTCACCTTTGCATCAGTCTCTTGAATTTTACAGAATTCACACCGGGTTATACAAACTCATGCGTCCGCTATGTTAATTTGTGAGTAGTTGTAAGAATTATGCATCTTTTTTCCTCATTTTTTTGTAGCTGTTATGGCTTCAAAAGGTCACAACAACATCACAGTCTCTCAACAGTCGACGACGACTCCTCCAGGAATGTTCTTATAGGTCAAATACAAAGAAAAAAAGGAAATTAAAACTCAGGCAGAGTTGGGTTTTTTTTGTTGTTGTTTGTGTTGAGCTCTTCGTGGTAATACGTCTCTTTTTTTTTTCTGCCTCTGTTTTCAGTCTTTGCTCTCTGCGCCTCCTTAAGGTCAGTCACTGTAACGATGTCTGCACAATTCAAAGTCCTGCGAAAACCTTCTCTGCTCCCAAGAAAAGAAAAAAAAATCAACAAACCCCAAGAAAGAAAGAAAAAATGTCTTAAAAGGTTATTTATCTCTGCAAAACAAATAAGACCAAAGGTAAGGATAATAAAACCAAAGGGGGAAAACAAATCAGTGAAATTATTATTTTTTAAACTAATTATTTTAGTTTTGTGTGAAAAACAAACAAACATTAGAAGAAAAATCCAGATTCAAAGCAACACTGCAGAAGTGCATGCATTTATAGTGGTCATTGTTAAAGTCATCCACTGGTTGGGAAACTGAATGCCAACAGTACATGAGAAGCACTGCCATCATACATATTCACAGTCTTAGGTATAATTATATACTCTGTCTCTCTCTATATATATACTTATAACATTTATTCATGATCATGATTAAGGTTTTGACTTATGACTAATGATATGTGACTCAGAGTGTGGAAAGCAGCGCCCTCTCTGTGTCGTGTCAGTTTGCTGTGTTAGTGTCTATTTAAAAACTAAAGCCTCTGATGGGAGTTTGCTCTTCTTTTTATTTGTTGAGGGGCAGATGGAGTGGGTGTGAAACTACCCCCCCCCCCCCCCCCCCCCCCCCCCCCCCCCCCCCCCCATCCCACCGTAGTAGCTTGACTGATGTGTTAAAAGTCAAATTGCTTAAATATGGAGGGCGATGGTGAGGTGATAGTAGACGTCAGCCGGCTGCTCCTAGAAAACATGTTCTCAGCGTCCTGCTTTCACGTGGAATGTGATTCATACAGTCAAGGATGTATCGGCCATGCTTAGTGCGGGGAATGTGGACGAGAGATATGGCTCTGAACAGAGATCACCAGAAGGGTCCGCCAGTGTTCAAGTCACAAGTGAGGAAAATAAAACAAAACAGAATGGACATTAAAAATAAAATTAAATCAAGTAAAAAAAAATAAAAAATCTCCTTGTCACAGAGATGATATAAAGACCCAGGGTAAAAAAAGACAAAGAAGGATGTGTGTTCTGTGAACAGAGGTGCAGATTTAAAAACAATGAAGAAACAACATACAAAAAAACAAACCCCAAAAGAATTGAAACATTAATTATCTTTCCATGTAAAAAGCGATGAAAAGTATACAAAAATAGAAAATAATTACAGCAGGAGACATGAGCGCTATGGTGGGAGCAGGTGTTGGGAGGGATTTTCTTCTTCTTCTTTTTTTCTTTTTCTCCAATATTCTCTAGGTTTTGTCTTTGCTGGGTTATTTGGCGGCAGGACACTGTAGTATTCTGGGGCTGTTTAAGGCGTCCTCCACCAGGTGGAGCTCCACGCCATCCACCACCACATCTTTGATGCAGCCAACAAACCCAGTGCTGTAGGCCTTGGTCAACCGACGGGTGACGGCCAGCTCCTCCAGACCACCTGACAGGAGAGAGAGGGAGAGGTTGACGTCATGAATCAGAAACTGAGCAGAAGAACAGAAGAAGGGAACATAGACATCAAACGGATGATGACTGCAGTGACTTCTTTGACCTGCCTCTGCTGAAGTAAAACAAAATAAGAAAATGTAGTAAACATTTCAACAAAGTTAAAATAGGAATCAGAATCAGAAATACCAGCTAACTGTTAGCCAAAAAGACTAGCTAGCAAAAGCTAGCCAAAAAATGACCTTATAATATTAAAAAGTAATAATGTGACAGCCAAAATGCAAATAAAATTGAAAAAAAAAAATAGATTTAGGAATTACCACAGAATGAGGAAATCAAGGAAAACCACTTTGAACCAGTCACTCCTGCAAAAAGCTCCTTTAAAATGTAATTCAAGGAAAAGTCTAAATATCTGTTTAACTGATTGTCGACAAGTGATTTCCATGTTAATAGAGTGATTTCATGGTTTGTCAGGTTCAGAGAGAGATTACAACACATGTTCAGCTAATATTTTATTTATTCATCTGATTATTTAACTGTGACATCAGCTGACTGACGTGGCAGGATGACACTTTCATCATCAGGCAGATCAAGGGGAAAAATATCTGCAGGAAACTGAGGCTGAAGATGAAAAAGACATTTTTAAAAAGACTGTCATTTCATTTGAGACATGAACCGATAAAAACCAAAGGTGGAGACAGAAGTGAAATCATCGCTGACGTCCTGGTTATTTTTAACTGGGTCTTATCTTTGGTGCTAAAGCTCACTGCTGTGATGTTGACCTCCGTGACCTCAACTCTCCATCAGTCAGAAATGTGACCTCAAAAGTACTTTTCTACCTGATACTTCTACTACATGTGAGGTGAGGTCACGTATAAACTAATAAACTAAATGACTGGAAGAGCAATATCGTTGATTGTTTTCCTTTAATCATCAGCAGTTGGAAACAGAGAGTGTACACTGTGTTTTTGGTGAACTGACCCTTTACAGCTGAGCTCTGAAATCATCAAACATGACCGACCTACTCCAGACTCAACCAACCCAGAAGAATTAGAATGGAATGAATTGAATTCACTGTCCACTGAAAAGGTTTAATGACCTATAGCTCAGTCCACCGCTGGTGACCTCCACTGGTCACAGAAAGTATAATGTATATATAAAAAAAAATCAAGAAGAAAGTCAGTGGTTTTGTGCTAAAAAAGCAAACGTTTTACTCATACGTTCCATTTTTGCCTCGACTCTACTTAACTTTTTTTTCTTCAGCTAATCTCCATTTTGAAAACACCAAAGCCTTTTCTCTATTATACTTTTTATTAACTCAATCTCACACAGTTCTTTTTGGAGACTTGATGACCTAATTGCAGTGTGCGGCTCTCATTTTCTCTCCTGATAGTGTTTGGAGCCTTTCTTTTGAGGCTGCACACCCAAAGTAGTCATTAATGCTCCGAGTAATAAATCAGCATGAAAAGGTTTTTATCCACAATTTCATGCCTTTTGATCATACAGAGAGACAGACCGCCCGCAATTTCCAATATGTCATGTTTCTCTTGTCCATTTCTTCAGTTTCAACCAATGTCTTGGTTTTACACACTTTCCACATTCACTGTTTTAAGTTATGGAACAGAATTTCAGGCTAATGTTGAGTAGAAATCACATGATAAATAAACTAGTTTTATCCATTTGCATCAACAATAACATTCACATAGGACTTGCACCACTGTCTTTTTTTCATCAAATTCAATAAAAGTTGAAAAGATTAATTGAAAACTTTGGACTAATTTCTCTTCTTTTTTTTGACCCAAGGGTTTAAATAAGATAACAAAAATAATACAATACTTCGACTACTACTAATAATAATTTCATCTCAATATTTTACTTTCTACCTCTATGAGGTTGAGATATTTTTGACCACTTCATATAATTTGCTATATATTTTTTATTTATTTCTTTATATCTAATTTTAAAATAATGATAATATACAATATATATACTGCTGTTTTATAGAATGTATATATTTTTCTTTATATAATATATATTTATATAGGTGTATAAATATACAGAATTTATATAGATAAGAAGAAAATAAATGATTAGTAAGTAATAACTAAAGCCTTAGTTTTTGAAGTTCCAGATAAACTGATGATGAGTGGTGAAAGTGTGTGTTGAACAGAACCACTGTCTGCGTGTGTTCTTTGTGAAGAACATACACTCCTGCTGCAGGGCTGGTTCTGCACCTGTTCCACTGAGTGTTCCTCCTGAACATTCAGCACGTCTCTATAAGAGCTGCTGTCTGCACCACTGAACCACTCACGTCTGAGCCCAGTGTTTCTTCAACATCACTCCTTCCTCATCTTTTCACTCCCTATATCTTAAAGACGCCCGTCACGTTATCCCACCGCCGTCTTCTGTGTTATTTCCCCTGAACGTCTCTCTGCCACATGTGTTCTTTTTCAGAAACCATTTTCCTTTATGCCGAGCTCAGACCAAATTCAACTGCAGGTTGATGACTGACTGACTTTGGTCACTTTCAATTCACAGCAGAAAAGTTTGGAGTTAAGCAGATAGCCTTTCATTTCTCACCTCAACACCTGAATGGGCTCAGTAGATATTTTTTGGTACAAAATGCAATCTTTCAGCCCTGCCACAGACTGGCTTATTCCCTGCTATGCACACAAGTTCATTGCTCTTTTTTGGCAGCTTTCTACGAGTGGCAGGAATGAAAAATACTCCAGAATTACAAGTATTCTCCTGACTTGATGTGTGCCATTTGTAGACACATTCCGAAGTGGGAATGACAGTTTTCTTTCTTTTCTTTCGTGGGTACCTACCCAACCAGAGTGCGCCGTCCGTGTCCAGCTGCGTTGCTGCCAGAGGCGATGATCCTGTTACTGCTGCTTCGTTGCCGACCTGAAGAGAGCCGTCTCTCAGTGCTCTGAAGAGGAGAAAGAAACCCAGGAAGATGGAGTTAGAAGCTGTGCCGCTGCGTGCACACCAAACTGAGCAGCTGTAAGTCACATTTGGAGTTAATCTAAAGAAGTGACAACGGCACATTTTTCAAGGATGGTCAGAATTGATGAAGTAAAAAACCTGAGGGTCAAATGCTCATCCTGTGACACGTAAGGCTCGATACGAGTGGCATTTACCAAATTTAAATGGCACATTTAAAACAGGTTTTACAAGAGAATGAATTAAATCTGAGCCAGCGGGTTTTGGAAAATGTTTTTGAAATGTTCTGGTTTTTTTTCATTCATTTAAAGTCATACGTAGACCACAAGGAAAGTTGGGAAGTTTTACACACTGTGAAAAACATGTGGCTCCAGGGTAACACTTCATCTTTGATAAACTTGCCTTCGAAAAAGGGACTAAGAAAAATAAGAAGTGATGCAACGTATTAAAGCTGGGAAAATTTTGAAAGTTTGGGGTAAAATACACAAAGAAATAAAAGAAATAGTCAGAGAGATTGGAAAAACGTTATGCAATAGCTACTGTATCTAAAGGTGTGGCACAAAAAACAACTATGTTGGCAAATATAGCTAGTTTGCTAATTTTCACACTGTTAGATACATGAATGAATGTAGGTTAGGTACAACGGCAAATACAATGCTGCCAATTAACTGAATAGGCAGCTAACATGTAGCTCCTATATAAATAAATAATGAAAATGATCTGTGGAATAAAATTAGTCTAAGATTTTGCCAGAATATGTTGAACACTATGAAAAATTTGGGAAAATGAGTTGTCCAAGTGTTGTCCAATAAAAAACCCCATAAAATTTATTTTAAGCAAACATATTCCCATAATATCAATAAATAAAATAAACAAGTCAATGATAAATATTTTTCACTAATGCATGAAAAGAACAGAACTCTAGAATCACAAAGACAAAGTCAAATGTCACGGATGACCTGTGGGCTGAACTTTAGAGCAGTGTCAGCCCACAGTGTGTGTGTGTGTGTGTGTGTGTGTGTGTGTGTGTGCAAGCTAACAGATGCTGCTGGAGCATGGAGCATTTTGTCTGCTGCATGGTGTGCATCAGCGCACGCTTAGGAATCCTGACGTTGGGTCTAATTTCAGAGAGGTTTCCAGCAGAGACACTGTCGTTAAAGACAAGCGGCAAACGCAGATAGTGATATAACTACAGGAGCTGTGGACCACATGCTGACATTTACACCATCAGCAACATTATGTCACCTTCCAGCAGCTTGGGCGCTCTCCCTGTAATCCTCACATGAGGTCGAGACAAATCCCAGTTTTGAAAGCAAATACAGCAGCGTTTCCAGGATTGACTGTTCTTGCTTTAAACGATGTAATCCATCTAAACATCAGCCACACTTCCATTCTGGCAAACGTGAGTAAATGTTGCACAGCAACAAAAAGCAAAGATCATAGAGATGGGGATAAAGTGATTTCTTTTTTTAGTTAAGGCTGTTTATTTGGTTTTGATTCCATGACTGTACCCTATTATGATATGAGTGAGCGCTAACACAGACACTGCTGGAATTAAAGGCATTATTTCTTTAGGTTTTCACTGAATATGGTGGGCTAACTATTGTATCTTAACGGAAAAGTTGAGGCTAGTTTTGGAAAACCTTGCTAACTGGGAGAGTAGCTATTTACTGTGGCAATTAAGCTATTTTCTCAGCTAAGTTATTTGTGAACATTCAGCAAATCAAAGGCGCTGATTTAGGAAGTATATGGTTTCTTTTTATTTTTTTAATTTTTGGTAGGTTTGAAGGGTTTGTCTTAAATTTGTTTGGGCATGAGCATTTTTCCTTTTAAGCTATTGTAGCTAACATTTAGCATTTTCTACAAACATGTTTTTTCTGTGTACATTTTTCACTTTTGGGACAATCATTTTTCAAATGCTTGGAGTCACGAACAGAATCCAACCACATTAGAACATTTGCAACACTTCTGCAGTCCTGCACACAGAGTCCTATGATGAAATAACCTTGATTCATTTTCTATTTTCCTCACTTTGCAGGAATCTCTTTTTACAAGAGCAGATATTCTATCTCTGGTTTACAATGAGATTTAGGTCAGGGGTCAATTCTGCCCAGTACAAAACAGTCCACCTGTTTCTTTTTAACAATTTAGTTGTGCTGTTATGTGTGTTTTGGGTCAATGTCCTCCTGAAAGAGCCAGACTCTTCACATCAGAGCCACTTTTATGACACTAGGAGAAGCAATTTGCTCCAAAACGCCTTTGTAATCTGATTTCATCATTCCATTGCTCTGCCATCTCCACTACCAGAGGCAGAGAAACAGCTTATATCAAAATGGAACCACTTCTCTGTTTTACTGTATTGTTTTTTGGATTCCATTTACTTTCATTTCATCTACAGACAAACTGATCCACCACTTTCTAAACAATTCTACGGTATCAACAGACTTTCTTGTCCTTCACACAGCTCGGTCAAATGTGTGGAGAGAAACACGGGCAGCAGGTCAATCTGAAGAAGTTTTGATGTCATTCTTTTTTAACAATTCAACTGAATATCCAAAGTCTGGCCCTGGGCCCAATTGTGGCACTTGAAAGGTTTTCAACACATGGTTGAAGTGTGTCAGGATTGGTACTTATAAAATATTTATAGTTTACAATTGACAATTGATGTTAAGTCAACACCTCAGAGCCAATATTGATGTAATTTATTAGCATTTCTGAAAGAGGGGTTGTTTGAGGGTCTAAATTAAATTTATGAAGGGAAAATTGAATTTGTATTTCCTTCTTTTCCTCATTTTCTAATTATCATATCTAAGTCTAGTTTGTAAATACGCACGTGCAATTTAGGAGGTGTTAATCATTGAAGGCGGGAATCAACTGCGTGATGTTGCAGATCACTTTATCAAATTTGGTTTATTACGTTCGCTCATTTGCTTAATTTGCCGACAGTCGTTGCCACATCCTTTCTAAATATAATTTAATGCGCCTGAGCAATAAGATGTGCAGTATGTCACACTCATGCATGACCAGGCATGAAAATAGCCTTAATTTGAAACTAATCAAAGTCATCTCAGCGCAGGGGATTAGTGTGTAGCAGGGGATTTGTGGAGGAGATCACACAGTTTGCATCAACAGAAATAACATGGTATGGATTAATTCTAATCCTGGGCTGATTCTAAAAGCCTCCATTCCTCATGCATGACTGACTGCCTGCCCATCTTACCTGCTGGCCTTGATGCGAATCCAGCGGTTGGTGTCGACTCGCACGGAGGAGCGCAGCACCACAGGCTTGGAACCCAGATCGTACGTCATCTGGACACGTCCGTCCACGATGGCCAGAGCGATGTAGTCTGACCTCTCCACCCCTTTCCCGCTCCACAGCACCAGGCCCTGAGTGGCCTCTGTCCGGATGCTAAGCTCAAACTTGTTCACCAGCAGAGCCTTTTCACTGGGCAAACAGGAAAAAAAAGATTTAAATTTTTGGTCTAAAGCTTAAAAAAAAACCCTCTGATCTTATATCTGTTGTAACTCAGACGCCTAAGTTGGTGTAAATATGTGAAACAAGGCGCTGCTGCAGTAGGATATTTACAAATGAAGACAGAATTATTAGATCCATAACCATAAACCGCAGGCAGACAGTTGGTCTTCTGTCTCCTGTCTTTTTGATTGACCAGGGTCTCGTCATCAGTAAAGAGACTTTTATAATTAAGATAAAATCTGCTCATTATTTAAAATAAAGCACAAATATTATGCCTTTAATGTCTGTACTGAATGACCCTGAGGTTAGGGACTTCTGTTCTAGAATTCTTGGGAACAGCCTGGCCCAGGTCCCTGAGGTCAGGGACTTCTGTTCTAGAATTCTTGGGAGAAAATGCCTAAAATGTGTCCAAAATTACTCAAATACTTACTTACTTTGTTGTTCGGAAAAAAATCTGCATGATTCAGCTCTGTTGGCAATAATTTAACTCTTAGTATTGTTTGGTTGTATTGTGAAATAATAACTGTTTCTGCATACAAATATGAGAGTTGATACGGTGTATTGTGTTGAAAATGACTTGGGAAGTTGTATTAAAAGTACACATTTACAGGGTCCAATAATTCAGTCCTCAAGTGTAAATTACAAATGAGTCGCCGGAAGAGTTTCTCTGAAAGCTTCGCAGGTACTGCCTCGCAACAACAGAACTGCAGAGTTTTCAGGGGGAACGAGGGGCAGATAAAGTTTACCAGGGGCGAGGGGCTGATTTGGTCGATGGTACTTTTCCTGCAGTTGAGCCAGAGCTGAATTTGTGCTCAGTCACTTCTGCTTTATGTGTGGAATGTGTGCTGCCTGTGCTGCAGTCTACCAACTAGACTTTCAGCCACTGCGCTCAGTCTACACTGGTGTGTGAGAGAAAATAGATTCCTCTACTCGGAACCATCTCACATCATTTTCCTGCAAACAAACAATCTTCCGGACACATTTCAGAGTTGTTTGTTTGTGAGAGGAGATACAGATACAGTAGACTTTAGAGAATCCTTCCTTTAATGTACGTTTATGGGATTGTGAGGCATCGATCTCATCTGACAGACAGATCTGTTTGCAAATTTTTTAAAGGATTTTATAAACACAGAGACATGAAACAAGGTGAAAACACGAGTGACCAAAAGCCAATGACGACGACGACAACAACAACAACAACAACAGCAGGACGGAGCTGTAGATAGAGATTAGACAAGACACAGACAGGACAAAAGAAGTGAGGGAAGCCAAACAGAGAGGCTCATGGGAAAGAAAAACATTACAGGGAATGAGGGGAGGATTAGGGGAAACTTTGATTCTGGTACTTTCTTCCTAAACTCTAATGATGCTTACAAATTCCAAGTGTTTTTATTCTTTAGTGAGTGGCAATTAAAAAAAAGCAATGCAGTATTTAACTGTTGGCCTGAGGCAGCGCAGCTCTGACAGCTCAGGCCAACAACAGTCCCAGTTCACCTCAGCAGAAAGACTGCAGCGTCACATTTAATTTTCTGCTGCAAAAACACGCACGGGTTGGAAAATCCAACCTCGGCGGTGAAGTGAATCTGCGGAGGTAAATGGGAACCAAAACAGACTATGACTTAAGAGTGTCACATTTGTTTTTTCCTTGGTTATGGAAAAACAATAACAAATGCAGCTCAGTGGAACCCCCTCCTGGCAAACCCTCTCAATCACAGCAGCTTGTCAGTGATAAGGTCAAGGTTATTAAAAGTGTTGAATATATCATGAATAAGACAGCACTGCACTGTGAAGCCCACACCCACCGCTGACTTCACAGACTCCTGTTTCCTACACTACAGAGAGACATTTTAATCTCCTCACATGTGATTAGGTTCTCAGCAGGCCTCTCAAAGTGAAGTGTAACTTTCCAACTCAGGGTGGCAGTAGTGGTCAAAATAATAATAAAGAACCATCAGGGAGAGCAGTTGATGTAAAGTAAGTGCAGCTCAGGCTGGATTTGTGCAGTTATTAGAGGTCTGGATGTCAGAATTAATTAAAAAACAAACCCTGTTTTCAGAACAGCGACTGAAAATGCAATAAAAGTCAAGTGTTTCTACTGGAGTATTACCAGGCAGAGGGCAGAGAACAGATCTTCAGCGACCAACTTTATTCCCTCATTTGAATAAACTAATTTAAAAATTACTTTGCATCACACGCCAAAAAAAGTTCTGATAAAGGGAAGTTGACAACATTTTATTTTAATTGGGAACAGAATATATTTATTCTTTCATTTCTTGCTGGTTTTACACTCAGCCTGTTGATTGAGAATCACTCAGGGTTTGTCTCTTCATGGGTGAGTTGATGCAGCAGAAGTGTTCACAAAGATTTGGCATGGTTTTTTAAACCGGAAATGATTCCTCAAGCAACTGAGCCTGGGATCAGGACCAAGTTGAATCAAACCTCCTACACTGGAGGAGAGAAACCTGCCTCTGAGCCACTCATGGGCCTTGGCCTGGAAATGTGAAAACCTTCAGAAATATTTGTTTTACGATATTAGTTTTATTGCATTTTTAGAACCTTTGGAGTTTGGACGTGAAGTAGGTTTTCCTGACTCTATTATTATATTTGTTTGTGTAAAGTGTCTGTGGAGGAGACGTTAAACCCTGTGAGAGTTCCAGGAGGGGTTGCCTGGAGAGAGGTGGGCGGTGAGAGGATGGCATCGATGTTGGAAAATTTGGAGAGACTCACCTCTGGTCGGCTGGATTCTCCAGAGACTCAGGACTTAGGGGAGCAGGGGAGAAAGTCAACGGCATGCAGTGTAAGCGCAAGAGGCCAGAGGAAAAAAAGAAAAGGGGGAGGAGGAGGAGGAGGGGGAGGGGGAGGAAGAGGAAGAGGATGATTCGTGAGCTCACTGTGTGACTCACAGAGATCCATTTTGAATGTGAAGCTACACTTGACGTAACTTGTCTGCCCTGCACTAATATTGACCTTGTCAAGGGGTCCATAACTTCCGTGTGATCACTGGAAGCGCATGGTTAGTCCTGATCACATGGAAACCATAAAAGGAGGCTCCCGAGAGAACCACTTAGATCAGGATGAATGATTGATGCTCCAAAAATGCCTTTGGTGCTCTCATTTTTTTTAAAGAATAATCATCAAGATTTAGTACATTAATGGTCTGTATACACACCAATACTAAGCCACTTTCATTCAGCATCCAATTATTGAAGAACTGCTTTATATTTATGATGCAGCACGCTACGGTGGAGTAGCAATTACTTTTTGTCTAGAGATGAAAGCAGCGAATGAGAGAAAATTGGCAAATTGTCAAAAAAATGGGGTCAGGCACCACATCAGCTGAGAGTCATGGCCCGATATGATTTGTCACTGGAATTATGGCGCTTGAGCAAAATCGACCCACGCTCCCAGATTAGGGTGGAGAGGTGAAGGAGGGGAGACCAAAGGGTGCTTTAAATAGTAACACACACATTAACCCAAGGTGAGCGTTTGACACTGCTGGCCTCCACCACTCTCTCAACGGCCTCTGAAAAAAATTATGCATTTCATAACAGAGTAAAATCTCGTAAGATTGACCTGAGCACATTCAGAGTGCTGCAACCTGGCTGTGTGTTGCTGGGATTTGTGTTTATTTTGGCTCTCAGTAAGTGTTACATCCATTTAACCGGCGACAGTGTGGCCCTAAGGACCACTGTCCCCTCCTGCTAAGTGTGATTGATGCCCGTGGCTACACACTGCAGAGGGATCTCAATTGGAGGTCTCCTCTACAAAGAGAGACAAAACCTGTGATTAACTATTCACAGCCTCTCTGTGCGACCTAGTCGGAAATTATTCATGATTACAGTTAGAGACGTGGCAAAAATGAACAGTCAGAAGCCATGGCATTAACTGTTCAGGAGTGAAGTTTTAGGCTGAAGCCTCAGATCTGAATCTGATCTGAAATCCGCTTGACTGCTTTGTGGGATATTTTTATACTTACCGCGCTAACAAGCAGAAAAGAAAAAGCCTTAAAAAGTAAGTTATGACTCAGGGTTTCCCCAAGCAGAAACTCCAGCCGCAGGAATTAGGCTAAAGGGTATTTAGCATATCTTCGTTATGCACTTTTCAAGGGGTCTCATTCATTTTCTCATAAGTGATAATGCCACTCAGTGAAAAGCGCATGGCTATTCATTTTGTTTATGAACCAGTTACAACCATGCATAAAATATTGAACATTCTTAGGGCAGCAATTCATTTTCCTCTGGGGGGTGAGCACAATGCTTATCATGCACTCATTCATGCTTCCCTTAGCACTGGGGGAAAAGAAATAATCTAATGATGCTGCAAAAGGTATTTCAAATAATGAAATCTGTAAAAATAAAGTGTGGTCATGGAGCGCATATGTTAAGACCTGCTAATCTCGGTGTGGTAAAAAAAATGACAGGAAACTTCCAACATCTTATTCATTTCATTGGGTTAATTATTTAAAAATGGCCTTGTTGTTGTTGTTAGTTGGGCTTTATCTGAAGCTGGGCGAACACCAGCTTGAAATGTCTACTTACTCTGGGATCTCATTGGTCAGTTGGCTTGAGTGGAAAGGAAAGACAGTAAGGACATTTACATGAGACAAGACAAGTGAGGACAAGGACATGTGAGGTCAGGCCTCAGGACAGGACAAGCAACTTGAAGATTGATCTGATCACAGGTGGACCAAACGAGGACAACATAAAGACACACACACACATTTATACTGGAATACTGTTTCTGTGGGACTAAACTGGTGGTTGAGGGTGATCTTGTGAACATGTCCCTTCGCATCGACACCGTTGTTCACACTTGACAGCAAAAGTATAGTTTTCATGTGTAATTCAATTCAAACGTCAGTTTTTGTAAAAGGCACAATTAATAAAATACACAGAGCAGTGAAATCTTGGCTAATAAGCTTAGCCACAGGCTAACTGTCTTGGCCTTAAATAACACGTTTACTGGAAATAAAGGTTTACATTTTATTTGTAAAACATATTTACTAAACATATTGAATAAAAAAAGCGGTGAATGTTATTGTTGCTTACGAGCTTGCTGCAAGAGAACTGCCAAAATGACAGCATATGCTAATGGCAAATAAAGTTTTATTATCTGCTCAAAAACAAATACCTGTAATTACAGTATCTGTGACTATTGGTAAAAGTGATTTTGTAAATGCTGATTTAAATTGTGTGTCTCTTTTGGGTGGGATCATCTTTGAGCTGTGACTCACATTTTCACCTTTGTGTGTTTGTGTAAAAAGCTGAGGGACAGAAATATAGATATAAACTCATGTTTCCGCTCAGTCACTTGGGTTGTTAACAAACACATTTTCCTTGATGGCAACCTGATGGTGAACTCCTGCCAAACTACAGGTTCACTTTTTATGGTACTTTTTTTTTAACTTTTCAGATTTATATCATCTGCATGGTGTTAAACACCACCAGTGTAATTTTAATGGCTAATTGTGGAAAAGCACTCATGCATTTGGAGAAGAATAGATAGAGGTTTAATCATACATGTGTACTCATTGTGCAGTGCTGGTGTAAAGGCAGTAGACTATGGGGCTAACTGAGCATGCTCAGGGCAACACAGAGTGCTAAGTGTGTTGCTAATTACTGACATCCTGTCAAGAGAAGAGTAGGACTGCTACAGACACCAGGGATAAGCTATTAGCTAAGTGTCTGGTTCACCCTGCAGCGCAGGCACTGATGATATCATCAAGTGTCATCACAGCTTACCAAGGGACAGCACAGATAGAACCAGGGATATTTGGCTAATAGCTATGCTGCAGTTGAAGAAAGACCAAGCTGAATTGATGAAGATTTTTTTCCTTTGTCCTTTTCCTTACCTCTTTGTAACAGCATTGTGATATTCGATAAACGTCCTCCCGTCAAAGGCGATGGCCTCAGTTTCTCCAGCAGACTTCTCATAAATGGCTGGAGATAAAAAAAAGAGAGGGTGAGGGGAAGAGGATGACATCACCTAATCGATAAGACAGAGGGTTTGGTTATCATGGCTGTAGCTAATGGAGTGCGAGCAAACCGGACAGAGGGGAGATACTGGTGCGGTTGTACTTTTAATTAATGTGAAAGCCAGAGCTGTCCAGGCACAAGGTTAATGGCGAAGGCTGAGGCTGAAAATGTAAGACACATCAGACCAGAGAGAGCATGTGCCTGACAGAGCGACGTGACGCTGATGAAAGGGATGTGCAACTCGTGAAAAGAGCATTTCATGAATATTCATGTGACGTCTTTATCAAAGCTGCTGCCCTGCTTGGAAAGCCTTACAGAACAGAATGAAAACTATTTGATCAATAATTAAGAACATGGAAAAAACAGTTCATATTAATAAAAAGTAAACAATATATTTTACTGAAAACAAATGAATATGGAGTATTCTCAATTATAGTATTGAATTAAATGACAAGATTGGCTACAGGATAAAGTCCACCAAAAGCTCAGCCTTTGCTTGTAAGAAACGACTGTGCCATATATTATTTAGCCTTGTAGGCAAGATTGTATTTGTTTAAATGGTCTGCATGGAGCCCAGTCTCCTGATTAAAAAGGCTGGTGCACCGTGAAGAAGAGAATCAGATCGACGTGGAGCACCTGACTGAATAAAACCAAACTGCTGCAGTTATTACGTTCAGTCAGAACAGGACGCAAATCATATTTATAAGAAAACGGATTCAACCTGGTCCAATTTAATTCCTTATTTAATTTTCATTTCCTGAAATGTGGTTTTGTGAAAAGCAGTCCATTACTGCACTGCCTCCAAAAAAGGTCCAGAAACAGAATTACATACAGCGTCATGTGATCTCATTCCCACTCATGCTTCACTCATGCACACTAAAAATGCTGCCAGATATAACAGCAAATGTTGAATGTGGAAATAGAACAGTGTGTACACTTGTAATAACCAAGAGCAATTATGCACAGCCATTAACAGGTCAATGTCAAGCCAACAGGTACTATTAGCCACTGGCATCGGCATTACTGATGAATTTGATGTCAATGTGTTTAGACCATATATAATAAATGGTCTTCAGTTATCACCAGTGACATCACCAGTGACATCACCAGGACAGAAAGTAATACTCACTGTTTTGACAGTGTCCGCCTGAGAAACCGCTGAGGCAGACGCACTCGTAGGTGTCCAGATGAGGGTTGCAGTGACCTCCATTGTGGCAGGGCTCCTGGGCACACGGGTGTTCCTGGAACATGGCGACATTGCTGGAGCGCAGCGCGTTCTCCTCTTTCAGGATGGGTGTACCCATCAGTATGATCTGAGAGCAGTAAAATGCACAGTTAAATAGGCCTCCAGTGCTTTTGCAAAGGTCATGTTACTATTTCTTTGTGACTTGCCAATATGCAAGCAGCTGTGTAATGTCATCAGTTGATCTGGGTGATTTCTTAACGTGAAATTAACACAAGAACAAAAAAAACGTAAAATGGCCATTTGCTGTTATTTTCTGAGGAGTGAAAATGTAATTTGATTAAATGTTATTGGTGATGGTAATGTAATGTATACCACCATATTACACCTTACACATCATCTAATATATAGTTAAAACAGGTTATATTTTATATTCCACCAAGGCCATGGAACTGTTAAAGTAAGAAATTTAAACTGACAGGTTTATTTGTGTTTATGTGATTGTATTAAATTACCATAGTTTCTAGCTTTCAAATTTTGTCTAGATACTTTGAGGATCATTTTTCCTTTATGTCTATGTTTTTTTCTCTGCAAATGAGATATAGCAAATGATCTGTCTTAAATATGTATTTGTTTATACTCTGGGCTGTTTTCCTGTGATGTCGTGTTTTAATTTTTAATGATAATTACGACAACACTGACAAATAACTGATTAGGGTAAAAAAACCCCATATGATTAAATTAACATCTTGTCCCTGAAGACGACTGTCAAAGCAGCACCAGCATAAGAAAACGCCACAGAAATGAGTCATCAGTGCAACACACATGTTAAATAGTACATCAAAGTGAGAACACATACAGACCTCCTCATAATTAACTAATCCTCGTAGGCCCAGTAAGACAAACAGCCAAGTTACTTTTTGATTTGTTCCTAAACTGTCATGGGGAAGTTTGCAGAAGAGAACTAATGACAAGTTTGCATAAACAGAAGGATCCAGCCTTTGTTCTGCCGAGTTATTTTTGGCCCTCAGATGAGCTTTTTACTGGAATGCAGAGGGGAGAAAAAAAAAAAAATCTGGAGGACTGTCAGAGAAAGATCTGAGAAGAAGAGAAACGGAGGGGCTTCAAAATGTTCATTCTATTCTTAGTGCATGCTAATCCAAATGAGAAAAGCCACCGCCCATCACTGTGTGAGCTTATAATGACAAGGAATGCAAATGTTGTGGTTTGCACGGTGACAGTTGGACAGCTAATAACTTCTCCTTTGACTTTTCCGTCTCACTGTGAAGCGGCCGAGGGGTCCTTTAAAATAACATGCTGCAGTGCCATTAGCATAAAACACAACAGAACACACTCCATCAAAAAGTACCGGCTCGTAAATGTTTACCTTCTGGATGGTTCCTTTGAAGCCGTCGGTGAGAGCCGCAGCTCGTGCTATGCGGCTGTAGTCAGGAGCTCCACCGACGTACAGTGACTCCTTTAGGTTCAGATCTACGTGCAGGTTCTGATGAGAGAAGGCACGGCGCAGGTGAAACAACGTTAAGCAGTTCTGTTGAAAACTCGGAGTTTGACCGTTCATTCCTACATTTTTAATTAGTGCGCAATAGTTTATGGTTTGAGTTACTTTGTCTGCAGAGAGCCTGAAATAAGTTGTATCTTTTTAGCTGAGGCAATCAAGAGTGAGATTCATATGCTACATTTGCAGACATGCCACTGCCACATTGATCGTCACATTAAAAGTGAGATTTATCCATACTGTTGGCAGCAGACACTTTTACTGCTTCCTCCTGCCTTCCCTCTATTTCAGTCCGTTTGATACATTACAATATAATTGATTCTGTGTTTCTCAGAGAGACGGGTCAATTATCCATCCTATCTGTTAGACATAAAAGCGAAACTACAAAGGGAAATCAGGAGGTGGCTGGACTTGAGATATGGACTTTTTTTTTAACAGACATCTGTAATGAACTGCTGATTATAAGCACCAACCTTTTAAACTGTTTAGTGCAGCGGAACATTAATTGCAATTCATTTGCGCCGGAGACTGCTATGAAATTTGATTCTTTCCACCAAACCTTTTGGGACAATTGCTTTGCATCAGCAAGGTGTCACTTCCTCACTTTGCGTGAAAGAGCCAAACGAAGGAGGGATAGAATTAATGATCTTTATTTTATGTAGGGCAGTAATTGCCAGAGGGGTAAAGTGGAGTTAATTGCTGGAAAAATGATGGAAGGAGCCAAATAAACAGGGTTTGTGCAGGCGAGCCCTGGCACCACCTCTGACATTATTTAGGATGGGATTTGAAGTGCAGGAGGCAGCGGTGCTTTGCTGAAGCCTAGGGCTGTGTCACTGCACCTTGAAGCATCTCCAGCTGAGACGAGGTGAAGACCTCGGCTGAAGCTGCTGCACCAGGCTCTGGCTGCTGCCTTTAGGCTTTTCAGAAAGTTGATTGTGTGTAGACTGTGTTATGGCATCGGATGCCACAATCTCCTCACTGTTTTCCTCTTTACTTCAAGTCACTGCAGAGTACCCAGTACACACAGTAGAGCAGTTCCTGTTCTTGTCTTACATGTATTATTGATGTGTAATATCATATTATAATCTTGATGTATGTATATATAATATTCTTGGCAGAGACAAGAAAGTGGATTTCTGCACAGAGACAGTGATATGATTCTGAAGTGAAATATCATGGTATGGGTAGGTGCATGCTGTTTTTTATGGCTGTCACTTTTTTCATTAAAAGTTGGAAAGGAATAAAGTATGTTGGTTGATTAGTGTCGGTGTTAATGCGGCTGTAAAACCGACCAATCAAGGCTGACATTTTATTGTTATGACTTGCCTTTCGCCGTGAGCCTGAGCTCTGTGTGCACAGGTGTCACCATATGAAGTAGACCGGTGAAAGTGCTGATGTTTCCTGGCTCTTTTTTAGTAGAACAGAGTCAGCTAGGAGTAACTAGCACCAGTTCCAGTTCTATGTGTTCCTTTGGCAGACACATTACAAGTATAGCATGTGTCTATTGTTGTCACATTTGATACAAACACTTTTGTACTGTAATCATAGCTAAAAACTCCCAAAACAAAGTGTTGTCTCCAGTCACAAACTTGTCGTCTCGGCCCTGACCTCATGTCAACTCATCATCACACAAGCACACTGTTAGCATTAGTCTTTTAGCATATCTGTTAGCACAGCGGCTCTAAAAGTGGATAGATAGTCCAACATAACATTGCTCTGGTTAGCCTTTCCTGATATTTTTTTATGTCTCTGTGTCTGCTCAAGAACAACCTCACTGCTTGCTAGCAATTACGAAAAAATATGAAGAATCATCTGCAAACAGAGGTTGTGGGCGTGTGTTCTGGGTGGAACACGATAGATCTTGGAACAATTTTAAAGGTCTGGCATTTTCTGTAATATTTGTTCAGTCAGGAGTTTAATAAGTGGCAGCCTTAGTGTTGTTTTTTTCCTCCACATTGTATGACAGAGGACAGCTATTGCCTTGGAGCGACTGCTGGTCAGAGTGAGCGTTGTTTGGTGTTATGGGCCAGTGAGTGGGTGAAAGAGTGAACGGCTTAATGATATGATGAAGAATTCGTCCTGATTGCTGTGGAAGTGAGAGCAGATGACAAAAGAACAGCCCAGCTTGGCTTGGCACCTCAGCTTCTTATACAGTCTATTTCTTCCCCACCTCTCTCACTTTCTGCGTTTTCGCTCTCACTTTTGGGCGGCCACGCGACAGTGGTGAGATATCGCCGCCTACACTACACTAATAAAGACGTTTCTTTGTGGCTAAAAACAATGGTCGTCACAAAGACGACCGCCTCCTTCCCTCCCACCTTCCCACTACCCTTCCACCCCCACAGCAGATGGAGCGAGGTGAAAGCCAATCCCTGTTCTTTAGGAGCATATCCACTTCAGTGCCGTGTGTGTGTATGTGTGTGTGTGAGCTGATAAAATTGCAAACTTTTTTGTCTACATAACTGCTAGCTTTTAAGTTGCCAGGCACACTGCTGAAGTACAATTTTTTTCAGTGCTGTTGTGTGTGAGATGAAGGTGAGAGGACACAGTGAACGACTCAAATGAAATATGGGCTAAAGTGTGACTCGGACTTGTCGCATTACCTTGCGTGATTTCTTATTTCCAGACAGCACAGCGCATAGAGGGACAGAAAATAGGAAGGGAAGAGAGTTATTAGAGGAAGAGAAGTAAGTATCTGTGCAGAAGAGCATGCTGAGCTGCAGGAGGCGAGAGCAAAAATACACACATTCATACACAGACACACACCTGTGGGTGAACAGGCAGGTGAGGTGAGACCGTTTCAAACATGCAATAACCCACTTTACCGTACTGACATGCACTTATCTGATCTATGCTATAGACAAACACATACGACTGCAGGGCTGTGCGAGCGTCTGTTTAGACTAAAAACAGTAAATGCATAAAGATAACAAGCCTGTGAAGGCCACGCAGGAAGCAGATGGTGTCATTAAGATAAGTGAAGAAAAAAAACAACTTGGAGGAGACTGAGGATAAAAACACTTCATCAAATACTAAACACAGACTTCTGTTGCTCAGGAAAAGGTGTTAGGAGTTGGATTGTTTGAACACGTGTATCTTTTATAGCAGTACACACCCCATTACCACAGTTGGTCACCTTTCACAAATATTTTCATTTTCATAATGCACAAAATCCTTTTCTTTAAAAATGAAAAAATGTTGTTGTTGAACATGGATTGACATCCTACAGAATTAGCAAGTGGCAAGTTTATACATGGGTAAATAAACAATAACTACAATCTGTAGTTGTTTAAGAACTGAGTAACTAACCAGTTACTACTTTTTTTCTAACTTTGTAGAATTTCTGCTCATGCACACCTGAGCTGCATTGTCTTCAGCCTTTGGTTGATGCTCCTTTTTTAAACTAAAATTTGTTATCCCCACCTATTCAAAGTCTTCAGACTTATACAGTTACTATTCCCATAACAAAGCAGTGATGGTAGTCCAGTGGTCTCCAATTTTCAATTTTTTTTTCCAATTATTAAAATGCTTCAGTTGGTCATTTTAGAACAAAATCCCTGTCTGTTTGCAATATTATTATATTATATTATTATATTATAGGGTATTTATATCCAACAAAAAAAAACTTTTTCTAAAATATCCTTTTTTTTATATTTTAATTGAATACCAAACACTGATGTGGCCCTCCAAGGAAGTGATGGACCTCGGCTCATTTGAGTTTGAGGACCCTTTGTTAGAGAGTTCTGTAAAGCATTTTAAGATGTGAACTAATTTCCATGTTGGGATGATTTTAGGATAAAAAGCCTAGAAGACGGTGGTGATAAGTTAAGAGGAAAAGAAAAGGAAAAAAATTCTCTTATGACTCAGTTAAGCCACTCCATTAAACTTCAAACACTAACTTTGCCTTTGACTTTAAGGTGAGTGAACTTTTACTTCCTCTCTGTGTATGTATGTGTGTATGTGCCTCGATGGAGAATACTTTATGACAATGACAGGCACAATTATACTTGATATGATAAAAAAGTGAGTCCTGCTTTGTCCTATCAGAATATGTGTAAAGCTGGCTGTAAGTCCTTAAACAATGAGTGGGCGAGAATTAGCTGAGAGCTGCACTAGAAGGGATTTCTGTGCAGAGCTTCACATCTACTCTCAGCTCAACCCTCTCCCTCCCCCTGCCTTCCTCTGGTCCTTGCTTTTGCCTGGCTCTGCTCTTTTAAGAAAGATTTTCTGTCTGTTTTGCTGGAGCAAAACATAATAACCAGTGTGGACGATGACAGAGCGAGGGGGAGGCAGATATACTGTATGTATATCAAGAACAATGCTGCGTCTGAAGGAATTGACACAGTTTGTTTTTGTTACCACAAATTGCATTGCTTAATATAATTGGACGAGAAACAGGCTCATCAGCCTATTATATCTCCTTCATCTGGAAACAAACTCCAGCATTTATTGGTGTGGACGTGGAGCGGAGGAGTTTCATTAATTTGCTGCTGCTGCCGTTCCTGTTCCTGCTGCTATCGCCTTTATCTGCCATTTATAAAACTGTCTGTACACCAGAAGTTAATGCCACTTCTTGCCTCACAAAAAGAATAATCTCCAAAATGTCAGCAAAGAGCAGAGAGTTATTTTCTTCCTTTAAATAACTTGAACTAAAGGCATAGGTTTTACAACAGCTTTTCAGTCTGGACCTTCCACATTGTAGACTTTCTGTTTTATTTGTTCTGAGTTAATTACGCATGGGGCAGAAAGACGATCAACTCTGCAGCATTCAGATGATCAGCGCACCGAGATGATCACACATACAAAGCATATACAACACCAACAAGCCCAAGCAGATCGGAGCGTCGTCAATATAGCAGGTTAACCATTCAAAGGTTCTTAGTTAGTCAGTAGTACTCACCGGCGCCTCCCCTTGGACTGGGTCCTTTTTGTTGACCATGATCTCTCCCTTGCGGTTGGAGCGCTCCAGGTTAATGGTGTTCCAAACATGTAGCTGGAGCGGTTCTCTACTCCTAAATTAATAACAGACACAGACACTCATATCTGAGGCTTATGATGGGAACACACATAGTTTAACATTAAAAGCTGTCAAAATATTTGTTTCAAAAATTCTCCTCTACTCTACGTACTCACCGGATGATTGCAGGACCCTTGCCCAGGTCATAGCGGAACTCCAGGATTCCATTGTTTAGAGCCAGTGAGATAAAGTCTCCTTTACCGTCAGACTTTTGGCCGTTGTAGAAGATCACGCCGTTGGAGTCGTTGGCCATGAGAACCACAGTCATACTCAGCTTTTGGCTACAGTTTACAGCAAAAAACAACGTCAGATTATGCAGCCAGAACTCATTCAAGTGGCTTCAAAGTAACTACTTGTTTGTGCCTTTTTCAAACACTGGAAGGCACATTTACATAACATACAGTACTCTGCACAAACAAAAAGAGTTTCAATTCCAAGAAAAAAAATTCTGGTACTGAGACACACACATTCTATTCCACAAGATAATGTAAAAATAGCATAATTTCATAGGTCTCCTTGTCAATTCAGCTCAGGCTTTAAGATGAGAAATTCCTTGCACACGTAACAGAAACCCGCACCGTGCATACGTTATGAGCAGCAGATACAGCGATTCACTTGTCTGTTGTGACTTTTATGCAGCGACATGGGATTTACCGCAGATCATGTCCGTAGAGATGAAGTCCCTTCAGCTCCAGGTATGAGTCTCTGTTGAATTGTGGCATGTAAGCCCCTCTCCTCTCAGTAACTGCAAAAAGAACAAAGACTCCATCATCCTCCAGCCCCACTTTTGGTGCTGACAGCATCAGAATTCCAGGAACACATCAGCTTTATGGAAAGAGAAGGATTTGTGTTTCCATGGACAAGATTAGAGTTTTTTTTTTGACAGAAACCAAAAAAAAAACAAAACCCCAGAATAAACATAAAAAATACAAACCCGTATGTCAAAATGCTTTCACATTTCTGCCACAGTGACAAAGAACCTTTGAAGACACACAGGGTCAACACTGAGGCCATGACCCATGAAATAATGTAGTCATTGTACTTTGGCAGGGAGATTTCTTTTTTACCAATTAATCTCATCGTTACTGGGTCTACATGAGACTGTCCTGCTTCCCAGGTGATTAGAACAGGCTCTGGAGGAGGAGGCCGTGTGTGTGTGTGTCTTTAAGGTGTTGTGTACAAAATCACTCCAACTCTGAGACAGTATTGTGAATGTTCTGCATAGAGATGTATTTATAGATACAAAGTGACACGTACATAGCTAACAAGAAGGCTTTTAATTTGTAATTGACTGAGATTAGCTGAGTGGAGACGGGATGGGAAAAGGCAGAGGGAGATGACAAAGCTAATTAGCTATTTTGCAGAAGATTGCTAATGATGACGGAACACAACACTGCAGAGAAACATTGTGCAATAAAGTGTTAGAGCAACAAATCTGCTCAGAAAGTAGTTTGTTACAAAAGAGTGTGAAGGCGGTGGAGGATGGGGGGGTGTATCTCTGTTTCACTCTCAGCTCAAAATTAAAGCCAGATGATCGATAAGTCACCAGAGGTCTGCAGATTGGAAAGAGAGAGTGACTGGGAAAATCCACACGACGTACGAGTCGATATTTCCAAAAGTTGAACTGCCATAGCTGCGGTGAACAGTGAAGCGTTGACATTTACTCCTTTGGAACACGCTTTTATATGAAGTGATTTGCAGCAGAGGGACAGCACTCAGGCTTTCGTGCAATAGTGGACCTTCAAGTAAGCGACTATGTGCTAAATCTGTTCAGAAAAGACAAAGTGCAAACAGGCAGGATTGTAAGGAAAAGAAGAAATGGCTCAACAGGCGTGTTGGTGTATTTGAAGTTTTAAGGGGAGAGGTGGCTGACAGCGATAGGGGTTTTTAGGAGAGTCTTTGACATAAAGGCTCTTGCACTGAAAACACCGCCTTGCAATGATTACTTGCTACATAATATATAAAAGCAATATAATGCAAAGAAGTATCTAAACAAAGCTGCCTGGAATTAACGGTGGGCCTGCGACTATATTTGTGGCTGCAATCAAACCTGGACCCCGAGTTAACACAGCTTCAGGGAGGAATATAAAACATTGTTGGAATTCAAATTCTCCACTGCAGTTACTTTGTAGGGCTTGGCTTAATCTAAGAGACTCTGGTCTTATTACAAAATTGCAATGACTTATACTGACATTGAGGAATATCAGCACAACACTGTTGAAAAAAGCCCTGACTGTGTTTTGTGTTTTGTTTTTACAACAGTGAGCACTGGGACAGAGACCAGGCCTCAGATGAACACATGCAGATACACACTATATTATTGTTAATTCACCTCCTGGCCTGTGATGAGAGGGCTATAAGCTACCTGTCTTTTTACTGTTCTCAGTGCAGCCCTCAAAGGGTACGTCCGCCCGGCTGCTGCCTTATCTGTGAGCTCTTGTCTGGGGGCTGACACTGTGGCTGAATGACGCTCACATTAATCATCACGGACGGGGAGGACTGATGCGATTAGTCATTGCATTGATTCCTAAGGAAAAAACAGCCTTTTTTGGAATGAGATGCCCTCGCTCACACAGCATTGATCTAGGTTCACCTCAGTTTGCTCTAATCACCCCCTTAACTGGGAGTTGGGGGCGTGGAAGGAGGGTACTCCGAATCAGCTATTTGCAATTCCCAGTGGTGAAAGAATGAATGTTTCTTGTTTAATAGGTTTTTGCTCATGGCAGGTGTCAACTCCGTGTTAGAAACAGTAACTGTGTTTTCATGACAATAAAAAAAAAGAAAATATGGTCTAATTATACCTCCCAAGGTGGTCAGAGGTGTACGGCCCCACAGAGGTCAGTTGCTGCTACACACTCAGTACCCAGCAGGTGGTGGTGGTGGTTGGGGGGGATAACCTTGGCCTTTCTTGCTGTAATTAACTGTTGGCACATATGTCTGTCATGAGGTGCATTTGTTATTCTCCTTATCCTAACCCCAACCCTGACCCTAGCCTTGGAATCTAAAGTTAGAGCTTCATCTAGGAATTTTTTATTAACCTTTTTAACCTAAAACTATGTTTAATCATTAATCAGTATGTGTTCAGATGTCACTGTTGGTTGACTTAACGTTGAATGCGAATGTATTCTGGTAGAGGTTAGCGACAAAAGTGCTAATTATAAACTCAGACACCAGCTGTGCTCTGCTCTTTCCTGTTCCCCAGCTGAGCATTGGCTCTGCCATGTACAGAGATAAACAACAACAAACAGGTTTTAACATAAGACCTGTGGGCGGCGAGGCAGGGAGGAGAGAAGGACCGCAGACTCCACGCCACTTAACAGCTAACAAGCCCAGCTGAGTCAGTGTGGGGGAAGGTCCGAGGGGACCAATCATCTTCCTCAGTTCTACTTGAAACCTCCTGAAACGCACCAATCCCTGGCCCCCAACGAGGCCACCTTACTCTTCATGCTTTTGATGTGCAAGTGGAGGAATAATTGTTATAAGGCAGATCTTAATACAGTATCGTAAAACTGGATCTGTTTTCTTAAAGAGCATCTAAGTCACCGAGTGATTAGGATTAACTCACAACATGCAGTTGTTAGTCAGATTACCTTTTTCACAGTGTTTTCCTTCACGACCCATGGGGCACTCGCATTTGTAGCCCCCTTCTGGAAGCACCTGGCATTGTGAGGATGGATGGCATCGGTTTGGCACACAAGGGTCATGGACATCAGCACAAGTTGGACCTGGACACAGAACAATCCATCATGATAAAAAACATATTCACAGAATTTACAAACATAATACTTTCCTTGTTGTTTTTTTCACCTAAGAAAGCAGAAGACACAGTGGAGACTCAAGGTGGCGCTAAAAGAGTTTGTGGTTCAATAATATACTGTAGAGTTGTGGACAGTTGACTCGTAGCTATTTCTACACTGCTGAAGCTACTATTATAAAAATTGTAGCTTCACCCATAATTTAGAAGAAAACAAGACGAAGAAGAACACAACTTATTTTGTAATAAAGGTCATTTTTAAAATGCAATTTAAAAAAATAAAAATCTACGTCCTTATTAAGAAGTACAGGTGCCTCCTTGGCTTTGACCATCTCCAGCCCAGGATAATCTGGTGGGTGATGGTTTTGCCCTCTGCCACGGCCCATTTAAATTCCCTCGTCATTACTTTGGCAGTCGGAGCCTGTGGTGAGGAGAGCACTTTAATGAAACTCGTCCCTACTGCGCTCACAGGGACCCCCTGTTTATTTCCTCCATCTCTTTTATCCTCCTCTCTCCTACAGCTCTTATTTCATACATCACCTCCTGCTCTTGCACCTTTTTAACTCTTCATTTGCTCTCACCCCCTGGATTTATCCAACCTTTCTGACGTCACTGTGCTGAATCACCCTATGACTAGTACCCTGTTATTCCCTTTGTCTCTCTCTTTATTTCTTCTCTTTTTCTGTAATCCTCAACGCCCTCCACCGCGCTGACAACTCGTGCACTTTGTAAATTAACATGATGACAAAATGAATGTGAGTCTGCAGCCGCTGGTCCAAATCTCATTACCACGATGTCGCAGAGACACGTTTGATCACAGCATTGCTGCTTCACAGCAGAGAACCGTCTTTTCCAGCATCTCACTAAGAACAAACTGTAAAGGTACTGACTATATGAAGGGTAATAATAGTGACACATGATGCTATATTGATCCACATTTTACCTTCAAAGAAAATTGCTCTTTCAGGAGAACCTGGAGATGTTTGAGTATAAAAAGCTTTGCTCCTCAGGCGTAAAAGTTAACTCTGACAATTTATTTGGTTCTGGTATGAAACTTTCCGCAGTAACTGCAGTACATTGAGGGAGGGGCACGCTTGACTGGGTCCCGATGGTCTCTGAACTTAACTTTTTCTCTCTCTCAGAGTTGCTTGTTAGATGGCATCTGCTGCAGGGAGAAAAATAAGAGGAATGGAAGTGGAAGAAGAGAGAGGCCAAAGGCCAATAACTGAGCATTTGGTGGAAGTCTTGGTGTTTTTTTTTCTCTGCTTCAGCATGTCATTTTTTGCTGTGTTTACAAACTGTCCTCCAGTGCTCGGGTTTGGGCAGGAGTTACACTGATAAATCAGGCTGTCAGACTAAGAGGTGGAAATGTTAGGAAGGTCTAAACAAGGACATAGAAATATGAGATACATGTCATATAGTACACATACACAACTAAAACACACACAAAAAAACTACTGAAGTAGGGAATCTGGTGGCTTCTTACCCCAGAATCCTTTGCTGCAAGTGCAGTGGAACATCTCAGCCTCTTTGACCTCACATGAGCCGCTGTTCTTACATGGATTGGGCTGACAGGGGTTGTTGCCACATTCACCCACACCGCTGCCGTACAGACTGTGGCCACCGTTCTCCTGCAGGTTAAGAACTCGGTTGTTGACGTCCAGCAGTCGGATGCAGCCAACCAGACCTGTGTCCACAGATATTCTTTCCTTGACACTGAGGGTTAAAATGGAATAGAGTTAGATCTTTATAAGGGGTCACACCTATCAGCCTAGTAATTCATATTTAAAAACCGTAAAAATTTGATAGATGTGTCAATTCAAAGGAAGCAAGAAGAGGTTTAAATATATTTGTCTGAGCATGTCTATGTTGTTTAGGTCAAAGTTTTGCTGTTTTTTTTACCTAACACTTACACCTAATGCTCAAAGTAACTAGTAACTTAACTCTCTCTCTCTCTATAATATATATATATATATATATATATAAACTATTGTAAGTTTCAAATTAAACTGTAAAAACTGTAAAATAAATCAGCAAATTGAAAAGACTGGGTTACAATTGAAGTCATTTCAAATGGAAATGCGTCTCTGAATATAAATCAGTGAAGCTCATGTTCCCCTAAAGATTCACAGGGTTCACTGAATTAATTGAAGTGAATTATCTGTATGGTGAAATAAACTATTGTATGCAACATGAAATGAAAAGCAAAAAAAAAAAAAAAAAATTTGCTCATCCCATAGTTAATACAATTCACAGTTGAGTGACTTTCTGTGTCATTTATTTCATGCCCTGATTACGATCTTAATAACAATATTAATGTATAAATGCCAGTGGGAGTTCTTACTCCTGCTTAATTTCCTCGGGCACTCCTCCAATGAAGAGGTCAGTGTCCAGGTTGAGGCCTTCAGTGCCTTGGGGGCTCTGGCCTTCGATGTGTGGCTCATTGTCTACACTCAGCATGGCATTTCGGCGATTGCGTGTCACCACCAGCTGATGCCAGCGGCCCTGGCTGACTTGCACCTTGCTGACCACAGTCCCTGTGCCGGAGCCGGTGTTGAACCTGAGAGAAATGACAGAGAAAAGTTGTTAGATGTTCATTCATGCAAATTCATAAAATACCTTCTTTTATGCTGGTGTTTTTTTCATGCTATTAAGGGTATTAATGACTTCAGCAAATCTATAATGAACTTTGTGAGCAGAATAAGGCAGTCGGTGAAGAATGTCTTTCGCACCCTCCTTTTTAATCCAACCTTTTATCTAATGAGATTTTGTGCAGAGAAAGGCTTTAGCGTCACAGGAACTAGCTGCTGTGCATGTGCACCCACACATATGGTTTTAGCACAACCTGATAGTAATTATCTGCCACAGATAATTAGTCCTTCTTAGGCACTCCTTGGATTCACAGCACTGTGCGTGGCTAATCTCGCAGCTGTGTTTCTGAAACGGAGGCAGGGCGTCTTTTAGAAAGAACAAGTGACTAATGATTTCGTTTAGTTTTCTATCGATTTAACTAGGAACAGAGAAGTCCGATGTGGCCAAGGTGGGTGGAATTTAAAGGACTTTGGGGCATCACTGTGGAAAATTAAACCTCTTTAAAATGACATGCTTTAAAATAACAGGTTTAAAACAGCAGAGAAAGAAGAGAAAATATCATGCTGTTTGTGCATTTCCTTTGTTTAAGAAATACTTTATTCACCTTTTCTCCACTGTCAGAAAAGATGTGAACCTCGATATATCTAAGTGTTTCTATTGATTTCATGAAAAATATATCAATAATAAACCTAATAAATCTATCCATGTTGAGATAATCCCAGCAGTAACCATTCAGCTTCATGCTGTATCTATAGTCAACTGAGAGTGCCCCCTGGACCTAACCCACACACAGGGAGAACAAATATACATACAGATATATAAATATATAATATAATTTGATATAAATAGAAATATATCCATACAGAAAAACCCAGGATCAACCTAGAACACCAGTAATCTTCCTGCTGTAGAGAAACGCCTGCTGTCCCATTTGGTCCTAATCTGATAAATGTTTGAGCTGATTCTGGCCATGACACTAATTATACATAGCAATTACTGTTGGCAAGAAGGGGCTATTAAAATACAATATTTAGCTGCATTATGGAACATTTTCCAATATTTGTGAAGGTTGACCTGTGTAAATTAGGAATATCCTGGCCTCTGCTGCAGAGATTCAGTCTATCATTTTTTTGCACATTTAAATAATAACCACAGAATGAGAAATAATTACAATGAACTGACAACAAACAAATAAAAGTTATTAATTTAAATTATGTTCCTGTATAAAAAATGGAGAGTTAGTTGATTTTTACTGATACAGGGATTAGGGATCAGGGATTAGGGACACCCCTACATGGACGGTTTGTCCAGTACCGACTTCTCTAGTTGAACTTACAGTATGTCTAGACCCCTGTTCCAAATTATTTTCTAGTTTTCTGGAGACAGCACTAGGATCCTACACCATGAAATAAAATCAGTTTGAACATCAACCTGCCAATCTGTCAAAATGTCTGTGCTGCTTTTCTTTCTTTTTTTACATACTTCATTATCTCACACTCTCGTTTTATTTTCATCTTCTCTCTCTCTCTCTCTCTGTACTGTCACTACACTGACCCACTGACCCATGGGGATCATTAAAGATTCATCACATCTAAGTAACAATAAGCCGACACTCACTTCAGCTCCACTCTGCCATTGACCAGAGCCAGGGAGATGAAGTCCTTCTTGCCTCCCTGTCCATTATAGAGCAGGATGCCGTTGGACTCGGACACTCTGAACTCCATGGCAATGCGGACAGTGTGGTAGGCGCTCATGGTTGGGAAGGCCAAATAGGATTGGCCTCCGAAGGACGGAATGAAATACTTGATGACTATGAAAGAATGAAAAGAAAAGGAGATTAATGTGCGATTTTACACTGTTGTGTCATGTCAGTTGTATTTGATGTGAATGGTTGGAAGGGCTGTCAAACCACTGAAATGTGACAAAAAGCTAGTTTCTTTAAATTTACTTTACTTTATGTCCTTATGTTACTAAAGTCAATCTGTAACAGTAAATAGCAGCTGATGGAACTCCTGTAACAAATTGATTGATCTGAAGGAGTAGGTTCGCGTGTCTGTGCGTGTAAGGGTGGCTTTAATTGAACCACTCCAGTCTCCAACAAAAGTCAAAGACCAGCTTATTCTAATTAAAGCATTAGTCTCAATTATCTTAAGATGCAGCAGAGTGAAGTTGAATTTACTGGCAAAAATCCAAACGTGGGGTAATTGAGAAAACCACCAGTTTTCATCTGTGTGTGAGCCTGTGTGTGCTGTGCATTCAGAGTACAGTCCTTCAAAAGTCCTCCACAAATAAAGTGTTCCTCACACTCTCCTAAAATCTTTGCTGCAAAATCGATGGAAAGCCAAACTGAGCCACCAGTGGTTTTGTTGAAATAGTAAACTCCTACGAGGATAGTCTCTTTCATTTATTTATTTATTTTAAGGTTTTGGTTTAGGTTAAATTTAAGTTAAAATGGAGTATAAACCCATTTTTCAACTAAATTGCTATCACTTACTTGAAGAAAGTGATGTGGAAACAAAACAAGGAAACGGTAGATGTCAAAGTCAGATTACTGTACAGTATAGTGTATTTTTGCATGTTACACCTTTTTCACACACTGCGCCCCCTCGTCCAGCCGGACACTTGCAACTGAAGTCATTTCCACTGTCCTCACAGGTTCCTCCATGTAGACAGGGGTGTGAGTCACAGGGCTTCTGGGGCTTGTGATGAATTCTTCCCCTGTAGTGGGCGATGGTAGTCACTGGAGGCAGCTCAGTTGTCGTTTCAGCTGCCGTGGTGGTTGGTGGTGTGGTAACCGGTGCGGCAGTTGTGGTGGTGCGTCTGTTAAACGGTCTGCGGGTGGTGCCTGGTGGACGGCGGGTGATGTACGGTGAGGTTGTCCGAAGCACAGCTGTTGTTGTTGCTGCTGTAGCTGTGGTGGCAGGTGTGGTGGTGGGAGGGACCGTGGTGATGGAGGCCGGAGGGGGGGGGGGGGGGGGGGGGGAG